CGAAGGGTCGAATGACGCGTCGATAGTGCGGAAACGTGAACGATCACACCCGATAGACTCCACCATACGTGAGCGACACGTGATAATAGAGTATAAGGCACATCGCTCTTGTTAGATTTATCGTAAAAAAATAATGATATGACGTACGCGTTACGTCAATACCACAAGTATTTCGGCACTCGATGGGATCTTGCTAAGAGGTTTTTATCGTTGCTATTGTAAACACGCTCCGAGATCAGATTAATGACGACAATAAATATTACCGTAGATCTGGATACAAGATACATTATCCGGTAGAAATGGTAATTAATCGAAACATCTACGCGAGATCGACGTTCGCTTCACGTTCGCCGTAATGTCGGTCGCATATGCATGACGGAATTTATTATGCAAACTCGGCAATGCGTTTTTATGCAAACATATTCGGCGAAATAAATTTCGGACACGCGGGGAGATTAAAGCTTTCTCTTATTCATCTTTTTCTAGATAAATTGCCACGATCTTGTCGCATTTTTGATCATTAACCAGTGGAAATTCAGAAATTTGGCAGTCTGCTGAATTTTGTTTTCACCTATTTTACGCTAATCATTCTGTATTATCAACGTATGAAAGACATTGAGAATTAGATAGAAACTTTCTATCCCAAAATTTTGACTTCTCTCGAATTTATGAGCGACAGATGCATTCTTTATTTTTATATTATTCTCCATTTATTCCGTAACAATCGAATTTTACAATTGACAGTGAACGCTCCGGCGTTTCTCGATTATTTATGTCTCGAAGAAAACGCAAGCGAGCAATTCCGTTTTTAGGAATCACGCTCAATATTGAAAAGTTTAATCCCAATCCCGCGGAAATCAATTTTCGGCGGTTCGTTCGGGGGACGCGAGTTCCACGGAGTTCTCGTGCACGAAAAAGTTTGTCCCCTCCGATAACCGTACCAGAACTTATCTCGAACCGCGGGAGCCGGTTGCCGCGCAAAAATGGAAAACGCGTCTGCGGCGCGTTATCGGAGTTCGGGGAGCCCGCAGATTCTATGCGCGGATTTCTTTGCCAGATTCCTGAGGAATGTCAGCCGGTGATTCGGCTGACGCGTCTATGAAAATACTCGCGACTCATTCTGGGTGTTATTTAGAATTTTATCAAATTTAAACGTTCGCCGTTCCGTTGGCAACTTAATTTGAAATTTTCTCTTTGACACTTTGACGTCGAACGAATTTGCGTGACGTTTTTCGGAGAAACTTGGACATTCTTTTTCTTAATATATCGAACAAACCGAATTTCGTTGGATATATGAGATGTAAGAAAGTGGAGCAATTGTTGAGAATCTTGACTCAGTTTCTGGTTAATGAAGAAAAAAGTTTTGATGTGTTTACAAAGTCAAAGTGTTAAAATAAAAAAGTACCATTTTGTTCGAAGGAATTACCTCCACTCTTGTAATTAATCATGAGAAATAATATAAAATGAAGGAAATTCTGGGGAAAGTTATAGTGACTTATTGAAAAATTAATTTATTATTTTCTCGTTGCTCTAGTGAATAATTCGAAGTGTGAAAACGATTTAATCGCGAATGGTCGACGATAATTAATCTGATGAATAAAATCGCGACGCTTGATCGATCGCCTACTAGGGATTAGAAACGATAAACTGAATTAATTAGCGTGTAAAAGAAGCTTTCGTGATTGTACACTTGTCGCGTGTTGAAACAATGTACTTAAAATAATAGGGAATTAATTGGAAGAACTCTGTTAAATGAAAAACGCTTAGAAATGCTTTAGAAACCAATTACACGATGGAAATTGCTTTAACGTTGATTCATTGCTGATCGCGAAACATTATAACACCAATGATTGCTTTCCGAGGATTAGAAACTGGAAACTGAATTAACAAATAGACAGTGACAAACATGCCCGTGATCATGCACTTAATAGATGCACTACAAACAGTAATAAATGGATTGCATGTTTGATGCGTTCCTGTCGTGCGCAAATATTTGGAGTGCAATAAGACTTTTGTCACTGTACGAGCATTAGCGATGTCTCTGTTTCGTTGCCGTGTTAACAAACGCCTGTTATGATGTAACGAATTACTCCCTGCACTCCGGAGATACTAATAACAACGAATAACTCCTTTTTATTCAATCAAACACAGACACGCGAAAAAATCGCGCGAGAAGCGTGGAAATAAAAATAGAAGTGAATTCACAGAAGTGAAACAAAGTAAATGATAGCTTCTTTTGATAATCAATTATTATACATTAATTATTAAATTAAGGAAAATAGAGGTGAATTCACAGAAATGAACAGAAATAAATGATACCTTCTTTTGATAATCAATTGTTATACATTAATTATTAAACTAAAGAAAACAGAAGTGAATTCACAGAAATGAAACAAAGTAAATGATAGCTTCTTTTGATAATCAATTATTATACATTAATTATTAAATTAAGGAAAATAGAAGTGAATTCACAGAAGTAAAAAGAAATAAATGATAGCTTCCTTTGATAATCAATTATTATACACTAATTATTAAATGAAGGATAATCTATGATTTGACAGTGGTTGATAAGAGTCATAAAAATGAGTGCACACGTAGGTTACGATCCCACACTTTCGAACAATGGCGTTCACGTGCACGTGAAGGTATGTCGTCAGCGATCGAAATGGAAAATTTTCGAGCAGTCAGATAATCGGCCGTGTTCCGTCAATTTTAGAAATGACCCGAACGAAACAATGGCGAGATCACGGGGTCAGTATATTCGACGCGAAAAATTCGAGGCAAATCGGGTGTATCTCGGAAGTTTTATCGAGCATCGTTTAGCCGGGCCAACAGAAGTTCTCTTTTAAAGAAGCTTTTCTCTTCGAGACGCCTTGTTTTGGCCCGGCCCGACCTAGAAAATATCAATTTTCTCCTCGACGGAAACTTCGTTTCCCCGAAAGCTCGAGAATCCCTTTAAGGATTGAAAATAATGATGACTTCAACTCGGAATGACTTTCTGACGATCGCGCTCCCTCGGGGAAGGATTAATTCGCTGTTTCGTCTATTTGATTTAATTAACTTAGGAACGGATTTTATACTTGACTTTACTTGACAGAAAGTATTGCCGATCTTAAAACAAACTACACAAATTCGGAAGAAATCGATTATACAATTGAAGAAATATATTCGAAAAGTATATTGACGAGTAACTAACGATATCGTAACAATATTTGAAACCCAGAAGTATTCGAATCTCTCCAAATATTTGGACAATCATAAATTCGCTACACAAACGTCACGATAAAGTCACCGAAGACGACTCAACGTCGCTAAAAAAAGAAACCGCTAATATATCCCCAAAACGAGAAAAAAGAAGTCGTCAAACTCTTAAAAACATTGCGCGACGAAAAGCAACACGCGTCATCCTCGATTCCCGGACCTCCTATTACCCCGAAACTATCATCGACTGATCACGTGAGCGTGCGTTCATCGTAGCGCAGATGTGCGGAGCGTAATCTGATCACGCGTTAATCATGAAAATGCAACTTTTCGAACGGATATCGTCGCTTCATTGACATCAAACTTTCATAGTAACAATTTAAAACAGTAAGCAATGAATTAATCAATAGAAAATCAGTACACAGCGTTCTTTTTCTCTAGTATCCAAGAATTCAATGCAGAATCAACAATAATACGAAAATAATTTCTAAATTCAGCTTCATTACTCGAGAATTCAACATACAATTCTCTTCCGTGCAAAAAGCTATCAACATCCCAGAATCCAAAGCTCCAATTAACATTCAACCAGTCATCCAGCCTCGTACTATTCCAAAAACTTCATCAACAGTCACAACCATCTCATTCTCACTCACAAATTCACATTCAACTTCCTCAAATCCTACAAAATCCAATCAACATCACAGACGGCTATCAACATCCTACAATCCGAAGTTCCCAATTAACATTCAACCGATTATCCAGCCTCCATCAGCTCCGCAACGAATTGACGATAATACGAAGAGTACTATTCCAAAAATTTCATCAACATTCACAACAATCATCTCATTCTCAATCATAAATTCACTTCCTCAAACCCTACAAAATCCAATCAACACAGACATCCTCATTACTCAAGAATTCCCCATACAACTCCCTTTCGCAAAAAGCCATCAACATCCCGGAATCCAAAGCCGCCAATTAACATTCAACCAGTCATCCAGTCTCCGTCATCTCGCAACGACCAATACTCGCGAAGTACAAGATCCAATCAGCCGTTGAATCGAAGTCACCGTTACCAATACGTAATCAGGCTACATTTCGCCAGACCCGCGGCGGTACCGTCGAAAGCGACGCGTCAGCCGAAGACGGGCCGTCCTCCCCCGCCGGAAATGAAATTACGGCGCATCCCCGGCTGGCGGGATCATGCATGCAAATAGAGAGAGCCGCCTCCGCGGGACACGCGGCCGGCGCGAACGTGCCGATAAACAATACACCGGCGCGCGGATAGGAAAGATAAGAAAAAGCTCGCGAGAGGCACCGGCTGTTTTCCCGGCGCTGGTCCCTACCACCGTGGCCGACCAACCCCTGCCCCCTCTGCCCCCACCAGCGCCGTTTTCCGGAAGATAGTCTGCGGCGTTCTCCGTCCCACCACCGTCGCTGCCGAGTCCGTCTCGCTCGGGGTCTTGAGCATAATAACGTGAAGTGGTTAACGGTCGGCGTTAGTCAGTACGCGGCGTCGCACCGATCGCGTCGCATTGATCGTATCGGTCTACAAAAAGAGAAAGAGAAAGAGAGAGAGAGAGAGAGAGAGAGAGAGAAACAAACGTCGAGCCCGCGAAAATTGCGTAACAAGCCGACGCGAGATCTCTCAGAGGATCGACCCAACGGATCGTTCAACGATCTACGTCCGACCCCCAGGGTCTAGACTCTCCGTAGATTCAAACACGAAGCCTATCGGGCGCCGGGCCAGCGCTGTCACAGCTAACTTCGGTGCGATCCGTTTTCTCGGTACCACGAAGGACACCAGGGCAAGGTTCGAGGACACAGGCCAGCAGGACTCTCCAGGATGACGATCAGCCCGTCGTCCATGGTGACCGACTACCTGGTCTTCGTCGGTTGCATCGTCGCCTCCTTCGTCATCCCCCTATGGGAGAAGCTCAGAGGACGGCGCAAGGAGGCAACCAAGGCGGACTATGTCTTCGCCACCGGCTCCGTGTCCATGGGCGCCATGATGCTGTCCATAGCGAGGGGCACGCTGGGAGTCAGGTCCTTTCTCGGCTACCCCTCCGAGCTATACTACAGGGGCAGCGCCATGTGGGAGACCATCTACGGCATGATGCTCGCGTACCCCATCGTCTGCTTCATCTTCGTTCCCGTTTACTACCACCTGGGCATCACGTCTGTGTACCAGTACCTGGACATGAGGTAATCATCTCGAAATCATTTCGGTTTTGTCGAGGGACTGGGTTTTGAGATTGGGGCGTTGATGCGGGAGGATTGTTTGAGCGGATTTTTGCGAGAATTGGCATTGGGATATTGTTGGGGTAATTACGTTTTTGACTCATTGTTCTGTAATGAGGGAGTCATGTAGTTTGAAGTTCGGTTTGATATGTAGATGTCTAGTTTGCGAATGTACGCGAACGGTTCTTTGTCGTCGATTAACCCTTTGCAGTCCGAAGTGCTCTTCATTCAATTACAGCTTAATATGACGCTCTATTTATTCAAGAATATTTGGGAGTCACTGAAATGTTACCTTTAACACTAGGTTCACGGAATCCGTCAATTTGACGGATATCGAATTTTTTAAACGTTATTCAGTAATAGTTTAAGTCGATCTTGATTCGTGCAATTACGCGAATACGCGTTGCAATACTCTGATTTTTAAGCTACAATTTTCGCGATTTATATAAACGAACACGTTCTCTAGGAACAATAAAATAAAGTATAGAATAAATGCCCGTATATCTAGTGTTAAATGGTACAATTGTGATGCTACAAATGAATATAGAAAAAATGGTTAAAACAGGTAAAGGTTGCAATAAAATAGAATTGGACTGCTAAGGGTTAAGGTTTGGGGTTGGACGTGGAATGTATCGAGTTGGTTTAGAATAATTTGAATCGTTAATGATGATTATGAGGGAATTATGTGACGTGGTTAATTGGATCTTTTGGGTGGCTTTTTTGAGGAAGCTTCTTGGTTTCATTGGAACCAAGAGGAGATGTATCAGATGATTCTTGAGTAACAAAGCAGAAGCTCGAGATAAACCAGATTGTAATTAGCAGTCTCCCTGGTATTTTTCTCTTGGAGATGTAAATTTGCCAAGACTCGCGGACTAATTAAGAATTTGATATTGCACATTCATGTCGCAAGAAGAGTGTAAATACCAGTGACGTTCTGAAGTTTAATTAAAAGTTCCATGTTACGAATTAATATTAGAAGGGAATCGATGCAGGAGGAGCTTGTAAGATTAAAAATTAGTGCAGCTTCTCACTCGTTGATATTGCAAATCTGCGCTTGAAGTCTCTTACGTAATCATTTCTTCGTAACGTTACACTTTTAATCGAAACAACCGAGACTCGTCAAACACGAACAACTGTCCGTTACATTTCTATCTTCTCGAAACGGTTCGAATCAATTTCAGTGTGCACACTTCATTTGCATATTTCAAGAATCATCCGAACGCTGCAACAACGTTGCCAATACGTCGCGACTCGGCGCTCTGCTCTTGTATGCAAATCGTTACGCAGGTTAACACTCCTGTATCATTAGCCCGAGTCACGCCAAGCGATCAACGCGAATACTTTAAGGAAAACACAAAAACAATTCCTCAAGAAAACTACTTCGATTAACGTCCGATTCCAAGAAATTAATCCACGTAAAAAAAAATTCCCAAATCGCTAAGAATAAACGATTCCAAAATTCGAGCGTAGCGATACAATTAGCGACTAACCAAGAAAAAATAACTGTCGAGGCAGCGGCTCGTGTTCGCGAATAAATCATCGCGCGACAAAGACGTCTGTCGGAGTGAGTCATTCACTATTTCGTCGAGCTCTCGCCGGTGACTCGAACCGCGGCAATTAATCCCGACGCTTACAAAGACTATGAATAATCCATCCGATTCGTGCAAATCGCCGGCCGATTCTCGATCTCGAGCGCGCCGCGGTCCCGGGAGAAAATAATTACTCGGGGGAACGGCGTCTCGTCGCGCGAGCGAAGATTTATTGCGGCGGCCGGGCGAAAGACTTTCCCGGGTATTCTCTTTCCCCGTTCGCCGCGCGAGGAGACGTCAAAAAATTAGTTCCAGAAGGGATTTAATATTCTCCGTCGGCGGAATACCGAGCGAAACCTCGCTTTCATAAGAAACCTCCCCGAACTCCCCCCAGCCCCTTTAGCTACGCTGTTATTCTATCAAAATGACGAGGCGTGACGGATCACGGGGAAAATTTAAATTCACCGCGCTCGCGGCGCTCGGTTCGCCGAAATCGAAGCTGCTTTACATTTTCTGTTTACCCCGGGACCTCGCGGCGTAAATCGAGTCGAAGTATTTCGCACGGAGAAAGCTCGCCGGGTGTTCCGCGCGAAACGGAGACGGAAAATCAAAGAGAACGCGCGGAAGATCGCTCGCGTTCGGACTTCGATTTCGCGCCAGCGGTCCTTGAGACCGTCTTTACGCTTAACGATTGTGTCCGGCCGAGCCGGCGGACAGGCCTCACCTAATTATGCTAATCCGGCAGGTTCAAGTCGAAGCTAGTCAGATGCATCGCGAGCTTCTCCTACGTGATACGGAGCCTGCTGAACTTGGCCGTCACGATATTCACGCCGTGCGTCGCGCTGAAAGCTGTGATCGGGCTGCCGTACTGGGCCAGCATCATCGGCATCACCAGCATATCCGTTGTCTTCAGCGTCATGGTACGTAAAGTGATTAACTCGTTAAATACCATGTCAGTCACCGATGACTGACGCCTCTGAACGGCTCGAAAACAATCGTGACGAGCGTAATCACCGATGTCGAATGGAAACATTTAGCAACTATGTTGATAATTATGCAATGCGACGAGTGTAACGCCAGATAATGATCTTTGTTCCTTCTTCTCTTTGCTACGAAGGAATAACTTTGCGGGAGAATGATTCTCGTGGCGCTTCGCGTGTTGAAGGAGCTTTCTTTCCTTAGTTTCAAATATTTGGAAATTATCGGTGTTTCCTGGTGAGGTATACGTGATATTTTTAGAAACTAAATTAATTAGTTACTTATGTATTATGAAGTATATCTTATGTCGATTGATATTAAATTTCAAGTTCTACTATATTGGTGAATCAAAGTTAGCGGTGACTGATAGGAGGGCAAAGGTTAAGGAACGAAGTCATATGAAGTAAACTTTTTCAATTGATATCAATTTTTGCTTTTCAATATGAAAATAATATAAAACAATATTAAAATAATTTCATAATTTCATTAAAATAATTTCATTTTCAATTGACATCAATTTTTGCTTTTCAATATGAAAATAATATAAAACAATATTAAAATAATTTCATAAAGCAGAATATTCGAAATGGAAAGAATATAACATTAAATCATTTTAATAAATGCCATCAGATTAACTAGCATTATTTATAATATAGAAATGTTTTAAAATAATCATCGTTTAATTGAGTGAGCTATTCCATTTGGTTGTGGGTCACCGGTGACCCCGTGGCATTTAACGCGTTAAATTACCGTTCTATTCGAAGAGGATCGAGTTCATTCTTTTTTAATAATTAGCTCCGCAGTCGAGGTCGTCGAAATTCCCGTGCCAACGAGAAGAAAGTCCCCGTCCGCGCGCGGAATTGTTAGGTCGCGTTCACAGGGCCACATTCACGCGGCATCAATTATTCAGAAATCGAAAGAGCACGGGCTGTTTGCCCGTTCGAGTCACATTTCCGGGCGAAAGGATCGTAAATACGATACGAGTTCCGGTAAACAGAGAAACGAGAGACAACACCTGAAAGCGTCGCGATCTGCTCACGCTTTGCGATCCGTACATTTTCAAATACGGCGGTGCCGCCAATAATTGAATTACCAGAGAAACGAACGTGTTGGAGCAACGAAATTTTATAAAATACGAAAAATCTAACGTCAGGACAGTTTCAAAAACAATTGAATTCGAAACTAAACGAAGATAATGCTAGTATTCCGATAGAAATGAAATCATTGGCTTCCTCAAACTTGAAATTTCGCGATCTGTAAGGTGAAAGTTCGTGTATCGCAATGTAATTATTAACGAAAGCAATCATGTATTACATTGGAAGTTGAGGTTGAAATTGCTTTAACGAGAAAGAGGAATATTGATATTTTATAGCTACAGATATAATTTAATGAATTCTATTGATCGGAAGTGTAACCAGGCGATCGGATGTTTCGTGTGCAGGGAGGACTGAAAGCAGCCATCCTGTCGGACGTGATACAAGGTTTGACGATGATCGGTGTCTCCCTAGTGATAATCGTCCGTGGCTCAGCTGATATCGGGCCAGATAAGGTCTTTAATGTGACATACGAGCGTGGTCGACTGGATTTCTTCAAGTAAGTGTAAACATTCGGATCACAAAGGTTCGAAGAAATCAAGATAGAGCTATCAATCGATTCAACAATAGAGATTTATTCTGATAGAGACTCAGCCCTGTTGCACTCTGTATTTGTCCAATCATTAACATGTCGAGTGCCCTGAAACTCTCGAGAAAATGAAGTGAATTGAATCAAATCCCTTGAAAATTGGTGACGTTGCAGAAACAAGCTTCTCCATTTTTGTAGTTAACTTGATACACCACTTAATCGTAAAATGATACTTCCCTGTAATTCTCCTTCCACGCGCATAGTTCGTTGATGTAACGCCCGATTTGCATAAACATCTGCTGCTCTTTGCGGGGATTACGTCAAAGAAAATAATTCGCTAATGGTCACGTGAATCGGTGAACCGAAATGTACATTTGCAGATGCAAATTTCTTACCACAAACTTCGTCAGTTTCACTACTTATTCCCGAGTCGCTCTCCACTTCGATGCTTAACATCATACTCAACGAAGGTTGACAACTCTAACTTAGAACGGTGAATAGATTACTTCGAATGCAACACCATTGCAGAAACTATCATTCTCTTCGAGAAACTCGAGATCTAGATCTCCATAATCATAGAACCTTTGACTCTTAGAACTTAATAAGGATGGTTCAAAATCTCATTAGCTCGTCTACCAACTTGCTCAAACTAGACGAAGCTAGACAGTCTTTAACACTAGAATATTTTGGTGAAATTTTAATGTAACAACTGTTGCTCCCAGCATGAACGACTCTTTGAACTCGACAAGAATGGTTCAAAAGGTCACGAGCTCGTCTACCAACTTGCTCAAACTAATCTAAGCTAGACAGTCTTCGACACTAGAATATTTTGGTGAAATGTCAATGTAACAACTTGAACTCAATAAAAATGGTTCCAAAGGTCACAAGCTCGTCTACAAACTTGCTCAAACTAAACGAAGCTAGACACTAGAATGTTTTGGTGAAATGTTAACGTAAGAACTTTTGCTTGCAGCATGAACTTGGACCCAACGGTTCGCGTGACAACGTTATCAGCCACCTTGGGCCAGCTGTTCATGAGCCTGTCGATCTTCGGCTGCCAACAGAACTTCGTGCAGAGGTACTGCAGCATGACTAGCGAGCGGAAGGTCGTCAAGTGAGTGTTACCTCAATTTTTATATCAACCTCGTCGCCGTGTAATAGGTTTGTCATAATTGGAGCCGAGGTCTCGTGTTCGCCGCTTACAAATTGTAAAAAATTACCTCGGAGCACCGTCGCCGGTGTTGATAGAAGCTGATGAATGGAGTCCTTCATCTTCGTATCGCGAACGACAGAAATTGCTGTCCTTGGCTTTGTTCGAGCCTACCGATAAGCAGCTTCTCCTTCGCGCGACGATACGCGAGGCAGATATTTAAATGAAATCTCCGGATTCAGAGGGTCGGGCTGTATCGCGTTTGTTTACATATCTTCGATCTACGTCCCGTTAAGAATGCACTGCGACGGTGATTTTACATAATTCGCGAGCGATACAGAAGTTCAACTTGTTTACTGTCGATAACGTCTCTCTTTGCGTCACGCTGAATTCACAATCACCGGCACCGATGTTTGTCGTCGCCTCGTACTTTGCATACATTATTACGAAGTCATCTTACAACGTAACAAGGGACTGTTCCGTTGTATCTCGCAGTAAGACAAACCACTCTCTCCTCGTCGCAAATGAAAAGAAATCACATGACTTACCTGCAAGTCTCGGATATTCCTACTGATATTCTTCGTAAAAGAAACATTCCAGTTGCATTGTTACAGTAAGTTACAAATTCATATTACCAAACATTCAAACATTTAAAGTTAAATGATTCTATAAGAAAATATCTACAGAGAAACTCCAACGATTCCAAAGAATCCCTCGTTCTTAAAAGAAACATTCCAGTTGCATTGTTACAGTAAGTTACAAATTCATATTACCAAATACTCAAACATACAAAAGTTAAATGATCTATAGAAAATATCCACAGAGAAACTCCAACGATTCCAAAGAATCCCTAGTTCTTAAAAGAAACATTCCAGTTGCATTGTTACAGTAAGTTACAAATTCATATTACCAAACATTCAAGCATACAAAAGTTAAATTATTCTATAAGAAAACATCCACAGAGAAACTCCAACGATTCCAAAAAATTCCCAGTATACCCGCAGCAGATACCAGAAACGAAAAACGAGAAATCTGTAATTAGTCCCCGGCAGCGTGTCATTATCCACGATCGCGTTTTGATTCGTCGAATCGGGTACGCGGTTAACGACACGCCGAAACTCGAGGCGGAAGATTCGACGGCGGCGTCCGCTTAAAATCTGCGCCGTCCGATCCGCAATTTGCGTCGGAATTGCGCTGCTTTCGAGAGGGGAAGTGTCCGCCGGTGAGCAGAGAAATTTCCGGGAGCCAGGTTTCGCTTCGTACGGCTCCGAGGCACGCACGGGATTACCATTTTACGCGTCAGATATGTAAACAAGCGGCTTGCAGATAAAGCCGCGCCGTTACAAGCGGGAGCGCCTCGGCCCGGACCAAGAAAATCGCTGCGCCGAACGGAAAAACCGCGGATTAGGCAACCAGAACGCCGGACAACCTCAATGGCGGCACTTACGGCGGCCATCGCGCCGTTTTTTGGCCATAACCGCCGCTCCCGGCGAGGAGAATTGGCTCCCGCGGAGCCGCGCGCCCGGATCCTTCGAACTTTCTTCCGCTCTAACAATGCTAGACACGTAAAACTTAAATACACCCTGTACGTCAGGTCGTTCCGAGGGTTTTTTGCGCGTCCCGCCGGACGATTGCAGCGGATTTTACGAGGCTCCCCTTTTATTCGCCCCTGTTTCCCATGGTTATCGCGGATATTTATTCACTGGGCTGAATTTAGAACGATCCGCTCGCGAGTTCCGTTCGGGCCAATGAATGTTAATAAAATGTTTAATAAATTGCGCATAAAGGCGTAGCTTCCCCGTACGAGGCGCCGGAAATATTCATAAACGCTGCGAGCCAGATGTTACACGAAAATTACCGATATCGGTTTTAAAGGATTTCGAACGCTCGGGGTGGAATTAATATTTTTTCGCTTGTTCCTTATTTTTTGTGACGCGCGCACGTGCGCCGCAACGTGTCTTCGGAGGAGGAAGTTCGAATATGAGGAGACTTGTACATTGTGGAGTTTAACGACGACGAATTAAGTTAATAATATGTTTGAGCTTGGATCGTTGCCTCGCGATTGTCTCCGGCTAAAGGACACCAGAAACGGAAGTCGTTCGCTGCTTTGCGGAGCAACGGTTGCACAACCGTGCCTCTTATTTTAATAATAATGAAGATAAAAGTGCATTGTGTCGCGCGCGGGGCACAGTAATACAGCGATTAGCGCGGCAGATTAACAGCAATCAGTTACGTCGGGGAAACACTGCGGTGGTAATGTGGTAATGACAGCGTAAAGAAAAAGGCGAACTGTCGGTGAGAATTTTCCAAAGTAAATACGGATGACTGCTAAACATCGTACACTGTATTGGCAAACCAAAGATTTGTAGTAATCATTAGGCAGACGCTAACAGTTGAAGTCAACGTGAATTTATCTTTCATTAGAACTATTAGAGGTCTAAATGGAAATGTACATACATCGTACAAGAATCTACATAAATATTCAATTTGTTTGAATGCGAGTTACATGTTATTCCTCCGTTATCAATGATTATTAACCCTTTGCACCGGACAGTTTTCCACTAGAAATCTGTAATATTTCGCAATGAGATGTAAACGACGTTCAACACTAACAAACGAAGAAACGTACGTAAATTAAGAATCATAGCTGTTTTATTTCAATATGTTGCATTTCGATGCATTGTACGAAGCATAGTGTTACACATAATATACTCTCGAGTGCAAAGGGTTAAGATAAAATTTCAGGAGGTGCCATTTGACACCTTAGAAACAGTGTTAACCCCTTGGCCTATGATATCTTTCCGATCGATACGGCTACTTCGTCATTAATAATTTATTGGAGAAAGAGAAAAATTCTAAGCATATTCCTGTATTTCCTTTCAAGCGTAATAGTTGATCACAGAGGAATAATATTTACTTCGAATTCGAATGAACCGAGTAATATATTTATTTATTGAATCACGTTGTAGAACAAGGGGTTAAAAATCTAGAGAAGTAAATGAAACTGCCTTCCAAAATTTTCTCATGTTGAAGATAGAGTAACCATCACAAAAAGGATTAAATTGTTCTCTACCTTTATTTATCCATGTTTCAAACATATGCATTATTGTATACAATATATATTTGTCGAATCATATTGAAAATCTTCACGAGTCTCGCTCGTTGTATGACAAGGGGTTAAAAGTGCCTCGATCAATCCCGATCGTTCCGCCTCTCAAATGAACTCTCGAAAGTTCGCGGGTCACTTAGTCGCCGTGTGCGAATCGACGGTTTCCCTTCGGCAACGGAGGATCCGGCCGGAGGCGATCTGAAGAAAGTCCGGCTGACGTTCGCCCCCGCCTTTCTCTCGCCGGCCGATTCCGATTCTCTCCTCCCGTTCGGCCGGCGATCTTGCCGCGCGGCTCCCAGACGTGTTGACGAGGTTACGTTTCCAATTAAAGGGTCAATCGCGCGGGCAGACACCGACGAGCAGGCGAAGTGAGTCATCGTCACGCCGCGGTGACGCGCAATTTTTCTCGCTCGCGGCGCTGTCTTATCGGTCATTATTATGATCCGCCGGCATGCGTCGCGTGACGCCGCATGATAACCGGGAACCGCTCTCCGCATTATGCAAATCGTAACACTTATCTGGCCGTTATTTTCATTTCTGATTGGCCCGGTAATCGGCTTCCCCTCGCGGCTCCGTCGAAACGATGGGACAAACAACGGGGATCGCTCCTCGATCGATCGGTTCGAGGTGTTTACCGGTTTTTCGAACCGGGATGCTGCCCCTGGTCGTTAGTTTTTATGGGACCGGGTATTAACTATGAAAATTCACTTCGCGAGAATCGCGGCCCGCGGATGCGCGTTTACGGGAGCATCGGTTGCATTTGATAATTAGTATCTGCGACGGTGACCTGTTTTAGATTGCTCGTTTGCTCGCGGTGTATACTGTACTTCGAAGTTTGTTTGGTATAAATGTTTGTTTGGAATTATTGGGACACTTGTTTGGTTAAATGCGGATACGCTTAATTTGCTTTGGTAATCAGATTTGCCAGTTTGTGTACACGTCGAAGAGTCATTGCTACTTTCTAGCTTGTTTGTCAGCTGTTTTATTAGTTAATTGTTTCGGTTGCGTGGTATAAGTGAGATAATCGTAGAAGTAAGAATAATTGACATAATCGAAGATATAAGGAGCTGAAGCCATTGGAAGCTTTAAGACTCAATTAACCCTTTGCGGACGGAGATTCCATAAAGTATACGAAACCTTCGGACGAAGCCGAATTGCCTATCAATTGCTTGATTAATATAAAAAGAGGAAACTACGTACTGATCTCTTGCTGTTCGAGTAATCAAATCATTCGTCCGCGACTCAGTCTTCCAAATACGAAACTTTCATCTCGAAATGTAGACATTCGTCCGCAAAGGATTAAAGATGATCAAAATAGAACGCTTTTCGTGTTGGTAAGAAATATGACGTCGCGTGCGACGAGTGGCCACGTGTTCCACCGAGGAACACCCACGTTGAAAAGCGAGACGTTCCCGCGGAGGCGTCGAAGATAATTCGCCGAGTGCTCCGCGCACAATAGTGGTCAAAACTGAGAGATCAGCGGCGAAGGAAGAGCATGCACGTCCACGCTCCGATTAGCAGGCTTCCGATAGCTCGAAAAACTGCCGGCACGTGCCGAGGAAAGAAATAACGGACGCGTTTGTTACCATTGTCGCTTAGAGCGGCCGATCCGCTCGATGAAAGGGGGAAAACGAGAGACCGACACCCGATAGATCGGGAACAGTTTCCTCAAAGTTTCCCGGATGAAACGAGAAAGTGATAATCGATGGTTGAAATCGGATAATTGTATTATTCGGAAATTACGGACTGAATATACGCAATGTTCCCAAATGTTACCGTTAGTACAATTGATTTCCCCTTTGTATTCTGCCCGCGGTTTATACCGAAATTTGTTTATTCCTCGTTTCGCGGAGTTGACTAATTAACGATCATTATCGAAGAATTCCGCGGCAGCGAATGGGGCAGGTGCATTTGAAAACGCGTGAAATCCGCGTGGCAATCGACGCGTTAAAGTGCGAACGTGAAAACCGTCATCGCGGAAACTTTCCGACGAATGGATTTTTATTAGAATATAATCGCGGCACGTTGCGATAAAAACGTCCCCGCGGATGTAGTTTTATTGGACAATAATCGCGGACACGGTGTCACGCGGGCGCACGTTTCATTACGCGTTCCGTAGTTTTATTGTTTCGGGGAAAAAAGGACGCGTGTCGCGACGATTTCAGATAAAACGTTCACTGCCGGGGAAAAACGCTCGTCACGCCGGCGGAATTTTGCGGCCGACATTGTTTTTCGCGCGTCTCGGAAGGATATACATTTCTTTCGCCGGAACTTCCAACTTTTCGAACATTATTGGACGTCTCGCTTAACTTCTGACTTAAACGTTTGGATGCTAAACTACTTTTGCGGATGTTTAGCAAAAATTAAGTGATTGGATTTGTATGCAAAAAATTCTTAAGGGTACTCATCTAATGAGAACAAATATTGTGTTATTACAAAAAAATATCAAATAACATTTATTCAAATAAATTTACTTTGTTTTATTTCTTGATGAATATAGTAAGAAAATTATAATTGATACTGATCAACAGAATCGCCTCTGCGCTCTCCGCCATTTTGTCGCAACGCAAGAGCGCTATAGCGCTCCTCAGCACTCGGTTAACCGATTCGTTTCGAGAATATAAAAGAAACTATAACACACGATTAAACATAATAGAATCCGATATATTTCATTGTATATAATATTTCATTGAATAATTCCACTAAATTGCAATTCCATCGGCGTTGCCCATAAAATCATGGATTCCTATGAACGTCCACGGTTAATTTATAAACGCCGAACGCGTAACGGGTCCCGTTGAAATTATTCGTAAATTCAAGTCGACGCGGAATCGTATTTCGATATTATTAATGTTTAATGGAAACATAAACACAACGGCGGTCCCCTTCCGGCGGACGATTAACCGGAATGCAACTGTGACAAGCGCAGCCGCCGGGAAAATCGTTCATCAAGGGATTAATAAAAAAGGTAAATTGCCCGTTCGAACGTGTAATGAGTATACAGTCAATGTTTATACAAGAAGTTAATGCTCGAACGCTTTCTGATTCGGGAAATTCCGGCCGCACTTCCCGTTACCGCGTAATCAATGGCTGCCCCCGCGGGAGTGGACGGGGTTAAATGGCGGAGTGCCAAACTTTCGGTGGCAGACAGTCGGCGCAGCGTAAGGTCAACAGTATCAAGTGGCGTATGTAAAAAGGACATACGGTCCCCGTTGTTACAAGCGAGACCCGTTTGTTCCCTTGGAGACTGGACGCGATTTGTTTAACTGCATACGTCGCTTGGGTTTAACCCTTTGCACTCTAGAGGTGACTAGAGTCACCGCATGATTCGATAGCAAAACTGTGAAGTTGAATATTTAATATTTCGAATTAAAGTTTGCATTGTGAAGTATTTAAATGAAATAGCTTTGTTGCTTAATTCATCTATAAATTATCGTTAAATTAGTTTCGAACTATATGATCTATATTTCGTCAGAAAATGTTGAATATTTCCATTGGGAAAGTTTCGAGTGCAAAGGGTTAATCGACGAACCAAATATTTCCAGATAAATCTCCCTAATACACGAACTGAAGTTAATGTTGTCATTAGCAACGGACAGAATGAACTATTACTGAAGGTGTCAAAGAACACATGAAATTTCAACTTAAAGCTGTGTTCTCAGTTCAGTCGTTTAATGTTCTAATCGTTCTTGGAACAGCAGAATATTCAATTAAAGAACACAACTAGGAAATTCCTAGTAGAAATAGTGTTAACACTAGATTTAAGGAAGTTTGACACATATTGAATTTTGTAAACATTATTTGCTAAATATTTGGATCGATTTTGATCGATGTAATCATATAAATATGCCCTAATCATCTACTTTCAAACCTCTATACGAACATCAATCTCCCTGAAAATAACAAAACAAACTACACTAAATTTCCGTAAACCTAGTACTAATATTTCCCATTTCGAACAAACCCAAATTTCACGACTTCAGATAGCAAGTCCTAAAAACCATTTTCAGTTTTTATTTCCTCCACGATAACCAAGCACTAAATCCATTTAAAAGCCTCGCGTTACCTCTACAAAAACGCAAATTACGACAATCGAATTATCCAACATACTTCCCAAACGAAATCTCAGCGCAACAAATCTTAATCGAAACATTCTTTCCAGGACGATGATGGCGAACATCCCCATAATCCTCGTGCTCTTCTCCCTGTCCTGGGTGGTGGGGATGGTGATCTTCGCGAACTACGCGGACTGCGATCCCCTGACGCTGGGCTACATCTCGAAGTTCGACGAGATCGTGCCGTTCTACGTGGAGGACAAGTTCCTGAACTTCCCAGGGCTGCTGGGCCTGGTGATGGCGACGCTGTTCAACAGCGCGCTCACTCTGGCGGTGTCGAACCTGAACTCCCTGGCCACGGTCACGTTCGAGGACTTCCTGAGCCAGATACCCTCTCTGCGGAACCTGAAAGATAAGCAGCAGCTGCACTTCATCAAAGCGATCAGCGTTATCTACGGGCTGGTCGTTATCGGGATCAGCTTCTTGGTGGCGATGCTGTCCGGCGTGATAGAGTCCTCTATGCTGATGACGTCGGCCACCTCGGGTCCGCTGCTCGGCGTGTTCCTGTTGGCCATGTTGGTTCCCTGCGCGAACTGGAAGGGCGCAGCAGCCGGGATGATCTTCAGCCACATCACCACGCTGTGGATCACCTTCGGCCACCTCTCCGTGGCCAACATGAGCAACACCGTAGAGACTCTGCCGCTGTCCACCGAGAACTGCCACAACGACACGTTCTCGCCGTGGATCACGCAGCCCGGCAACGTGTTCTACTCCAGCCAGAGCTTCGCTCACAACCAGTCCGACATTCTGCTCACCGAGCCGACCGGCCAGAGTAGTCTGGGCCCTCTCGAGTACCTCTACAGCATCACGTACATGTACTACGCGCTGATCGGCAGCATGACCACGGTGTCCATAGGGATCATCGTCAGCCTGCTCACCGCTGACCCGGAGGCGGACATGTACGAGGAGCACTTGCTGCATCCGCTGGCGGTCAAGATGTCCAGATACTTCCCGGGCAGGATGAGGCTGTACGCGAGCAGCACGCGGCTCCAGAGCGAGCACAACGCGGCGAACGCGACTTCCGCTTCCTCCGTGAACTCCATCGTCAACGGGGCAGAGAAATCCGCCACCCTGCAGGGGACCATGGACGAGAACGGGAAGCTGCGGATCGATATCGGCTACATCGAGAAGCTGAACGCGTTGAAGACGGTCTCCTTGGACGTGACTAATGAGGTCAGCAAAGGCACCAGGCTGTAGGGTCAGCGGAGACGAAGCTCGGTGGTTCGTGAAAGTGACAATTAATCCGAGTGGATGGAAACTGACTGTCAACGGACCGCCGTTGCCACTCGAGCGGACTGATCAGTGCGGTTAGATTCTCTGTACTTTTAGAATCCTGCGATCACTCTAGATCTTCTCATACTCAAGAATTGCGCACCAGCTGAACAGGTTCTTCATAGTTGGTTCTAATTCGGAAGATTTACAAGCTCCGAGTCACTGGATGCACCCCTTGACCCTTTGCGGACGATTCTTTTAGTGTAGAAAGTCTTCGACAGAAGCTAAATTAATTAACACTAGAACTACCGTTGTTTTGTTTCACGACTATTGATGTCTTAACCCTTTGCACTCGGAAGCTTTTCAATAAATATTTGACATTTTCCTATGAGACGTAGATGACGTTATTTGAAACGAACTAATGAGGAAACATACGTAAATTAAGAAACAAAGATAGTTCATAGGAATATTTCGCATATTGATGCATTATACGAAACTTAATATGATATATAACACTCTGTAATTTTGTTTTATCGAATCAAATGACTGTCACCTCTCGAGTGCAAAGGGTTAAAAGCATTGAATATTCGAAATAAAGATAAATAGCTTTCACTTGAATACTATAATGAATATCCAAAGAAACTGAAAATGATCTATTGTCAGAATTTTTATAGGGATCACATATCAGTCGTATTAACTCCTCGGTAGTTCCAGTGTTAACTGCTCAAACAATAGCAAAAACAAAAGCTACATGCTAATCTCTTGCTGTCCGAGTAATTCGATCATTCTGCGACTCAGTCTTCCAAATACGAACGTTTCATCTCGAAACGTCGACGTTCGTCTGCAAAGGGTCGAACGCCACTCGCGGAATAAACTTACCCCGAACTTCGGTAGAAGTCCTTTTAGTATTACACTTCGCTCATTGTTTCACAATGTAAATACAAAGAACCTTAACACATTGAGCGCCGACGACTTAAGAGCCAATTAAAGCCTAAACGGCTTCATTCGCTCGTATCTGATCAATATTCAAAAAAAATATTCAAAACATAGTTTTCGTAAAATAGTACATTTTAACACACTATCGACGGGTAACATCATGAGCTTGACTCACACGTATTTTTTTTTCTTAAAAATTAATACATTTAGGACTAAACACTGGTCAGGCTTTACGAAAAACCAAAAACATCATTCCCGCCCAAACATTAGTGACAATGAAAAGAAACAAGCATTGGTAAGTGCTTTACTAACACGTACGTTCTGCATAAAAGGTACTAATACCCGCCGATAGTGTTAATTGCACATTCGTCACATCCAAAAATGGAAATCCAGAAATTATCGCATCTCTCAAGCGACAGACTCAAAATCCCACGTTCTCACGGGGCCGGCGCTCAATGTTAAGGGGTTGTAGATTCATCCGAACCACTCTCACCGTAGGAATCTTTCCTACAGTCCGACCGACCGAGTCGGAGACCCAACCGCGCAGGCGCAGGTCATATACTCGGTCTCCTCACTCTACACCCTGTCTCATCGCGTCGCAAGAGACGAACAGATTTCGACCGCGTCTCGATCTCGGTCGATCGCGCTGCGACCAGTCGCACGCCGTACTTCTAGAGGATATTTCAGTGTAGCGGCGTTCGAGCAGGACACAGGGTAGACGGTAGTACAAAGATAGGCTCGAACGAGGCTCGAAGATCGCGACACATGCACGTGCACACGACGTAGACGGTATACTTAATCGGAGCAATCGCGCCGAGCAGCTTCCAGCCGGGAGAATTCGTGTCTTCCGCGCCGGTGAACGCTCGCCCTCGGCTCAGTCAAGTTTCCCGAGATCCCCTCCCCCCCGTGACCGACCCCGGGGTCACGGTAGCCGCGCAGAGTGGAAAACGGTGGCATTTATTGGCGCTCGAAAAGCGCGTCGCGATGCGATTGCGACTGCCGTCGACTCGATCCCCCTTTCCTGCCGTCGCGCTCACCCCGTTCACCCCCGACCCTCGTTGTTCCTCTTGTTTTTATCCCGGGCCAAGAGACTGACGGCCCTCCACTTCGAACTTCGTACGCGGAGCACTTAAGAAAACGTAGTTTCGAGTTCGCGGAACTTCGACATTTGCGAGCCTCTCCTCCTCCTCGCCACACCCCTCCTCTCTCCCGTTGATGTCTCGTTTCTCTCGCAAATTTTTGCCATACGGACACTGTACGTTATACGTACGCGCGCGTGAAATACTCATTGTTTAAAAGCCGGGGACGGTTCTTCGGCTTGTCCGCAGGGAGTCGCTGGGTTTCGGATTGTTCGCTTGGAATTTGAATGGTTGAATGCGTGTTTAAGCGTTGTTCGTAATTAAGGTACTGTTGTGGATGGTGTGTCTGGGAAATTTCATTGGCGGATGATGATTAACCCTTTGCCGTACAATGACGAGTGAGACGCGATGAAGATTTCTAGATTAATTTAATCCTCTATGGGCCGACCTTTTGTTCGTGATTATAACGAAATCTATGCAGTGCAAAATTAATAATTAATATTTTGTAACTTTCAAGCTACAATGACGTGAAACTTTCACGCCTGAACGTATAAAAGTTTAAGCTAACTGATTACTTAATTTTACTCACCACTTTGGGTGCGAAATGACATAATTCGACAAGATTCCAATATACTGACATGTGACTTCAAAGTTACATGGGCCTACAGAGAGTTAACAAGAATCAATGTTCATTACCCACGGATCAAAGCATTCTGCTATTATCAATGTATTATATTCAAATGAAGTTTCCTGAAGTAGAATGGAAAATTGTATTTCTCACGAACTGTCGATAGTAAAATATTACACGAGTAACGAAAGTGAATACGCCAAGGGGTTAACGTCGTCGGTGTCAAGAATCGGTTTCTTTCGAAATGAGCTGAAATCTTGGCGTCCGAGGTTCAACCCTTTGCACTCGGCAGTTTTTCCCTAGAAATTAATATTTGGCGATGGGATAAAAAGAATATTTTGTGGAATTAATTCGAAGAAAAAAGCTACTTCTGAATGTAATATTCAATATTGAATTTTATAGTCCACCGTGTGAAATCAAATGGCGAGTGAGAGTCACCTCTCGAGTGCAAAGGGTTAATATCTTCCGAGCGTTGAGTCGGAGGGTATTCGAGGCAATCGAGTGTCTCGCGTGTCTGCAGATTGTGTTTAAAGAAGAAGAAATATTCTTGATTCGCCTGGCGCGTACAAGGGGCGTTAAGTGGGTTGACATTTCGAAAGGGAAACCGTTGATTCGAAGCCAGCAGCCTCCCGAGCCCGAGCCGGGATCCCGGCCCTGCGTTAGCGTGTAATGAAAGTATTGAATCGTGATAGGATTGCGAGGAAGCAAGCGGATGTTGGATGCGTAGGTTGCGCGAGGGTTCGGTTCCTTAAGGTCAGAGTTCCTCGCGACGAACGGTTCTCGAGGAACGGGCGTAGTATGCGTGCACTGTATGCGTGTGTGCCTCTCACGTGTCCCCGAGCATTCGCGGGGCCTCCGTTCTCACGACATCAATATGTTTTATACTTCGTAGATGATAGGACATATTATTTTTATAACGAACTAGCGGATAGCGACGTTTACGATGTAGATTACGAATGATCTGTGAATATTTATTTTGTTCCCCTTATCCTACTTTTTTTTTGCATACAAATATATCATGTTTTATAAGTGTTGTGTTGAAAACCGTCGGCTTCTGTTTCGTGCTCCTTGCTGGCCACTTTCATCCTGGCGAAGCGAGCCGCCAGTGTTTCGAGTATCATGGGTTTATTGGATGTTACGTTTACGGAATCGAGACTTTGGAATTTTCGGAATTTGAAGATTTGAGAGGTTGAGACGTTGAGAAGTTGAGAAGTTCGAAAGATCAGAAGTTCAGAAGTTGAGAATTTGAGACGTTCAGAAGTTCAAAAGTTGAGAATTTGAGAAGTTCTAAAGTTGAGAAGTTCAGAAGTTCAGGAATTCAAAGTTGAGAGTTTCAGAAGTTCAAAAATTCAGGAATTCAGAGCTGAGAAGTTCAGAAGCTCAGAAGTTCAGAAATTCAGGAGTTCAAGAATTCAAAGTTGAGAAGTTAAGAAGTTCAGGAGTTCAAGAGTTCAAAGTTGAGAAGTTAAGAAGTTCAGGAGTTCAGAAGTTCAGAAGTTCAGAAATTCAGAAATTCAGAAATTCAGGAGTTCAAGAATTCAAAGTTGAGAAGTTAAGAAGTTCAGGAGTTGAGAACTCGAAATATTAAGAATTCGAGTATTAAAGAATTCGAGAATTCAAAGATCCCGAAGTACCATAAAATTAATAAGCAGAAAGCCCAAAGAAACAAACTCGCAGGCTCTCCTCCGCAATCACTGGAGTCCCGATTACAGCGGATCGCGTGTCGCGATACGCGTTTGCAAAGACATTTAAATCAGAGAAAAACGTCCCCTTATCTTCGGCACGCACGTCAATCGATCCCCGATAAGGCATTCAAATTCCTGGATGAGTAATTACGGGTGCGTTATCAGTCGGATCCATTCATGGATTAGATAACGTTATCGCCTGACGGCGCCGTTCAAGCGGTTCCCTAATAATCCGTCCGCGCGTCGCGGATCGACGGCTCCCTCCGGCGCGTTCCGCACGGGGGGCCGTTGAATTTTATTAAACATCGATTAAGAGCGGGGACGGACGTCCGCCGATCGGATAAGCAGACCGCGAATTCCCATCAATCTGGCCCGCCCTTTAAATCGGACAACTATCGGGGAACTTCGCGGAAAGTTCGCCGCCGCAAATCTATCGCTCTCGGCGGCTCGATAAATTTCAACTTGCAAATTCGCTGTCGCGATCCAGGCGTCGAACTCGCTCGCCGAACCGTTGGAAATCGGCGATTCGTCAAAATCACGGGCAACTTCTTTGCGGCTTTCGCGATCCGACCTAACTACGAGCTTCAAATCCCGCGTGTTAAAGTCCTCCGAACGACGATAGCGATCTTGTTTATTCGTATTTCACGAGTTACCATCTAGATAACGGTGTATTCGAGTAACCCAACAACACGGAGACAATAAAATTCGATGCAAAGTGAACGAGGATGTATAAACTTCGGATGATAAATCCTTAGTACATAAAGATGAACAGCGAAACATTTCCATAAACTATGTCAAGAAATTACTTTGAAATTCGTTAGAAATTTCACCCTCTGTAGGCTCATGTAACTTTGTCACCTGTCAGTATATTGGCATCTTGTTGGTTTATTTCACTTTGCACTGGAAGTGAATAAAATAATTAGTTAACTTCAACTTTTTCACGCTTAGGCATAAAAGTTTAACGTCATAACTTGAAAGTTACAAAATATATTCGTTCGATGAAATTATTGAAACTATTGAATACATTGTTAATTCGTATTCATATGTGAGTATTTATTAATTTTGTACTGCATAGTTTTTGTTACAATCATGAACAAAAATTCGGCCCATAGAGAGTTAACATATTAACCCCTTAACGCCCATTTTTTTTTAAAGAAACCAGCCAAAAAAAATCAAATGATAAATATCAATAAAACGATATTTTTTCTTTGCCTTCACATTGTTATTTCCACAGTTCGGCCTGTTCAGCTCGCTCGACTTAACTCGAGCGTGCAAGTTAAGGGGTTAATCAGCAATACGGTGCAAGGGAAACCGTAAAAGCAATTCCACATTTATGTTTCCACGCGCTCCGCATGCAGTGTTTAAACGCTAAGCCCGAAATATTCATATTTCCCTGAAAGCGTGCACGGGAGCAACAATAAACAAACAATAGGCGCAAACAGCAGGGCCGGCGGCGCCGCCATTAAACCTAACCCCGCCGCTTCCGTCCGGATAAACGAATAAATAAATAAATCTAAACGGTCCGAAATCGTCCAAACAGCCAGGGACGCGTGCCCATTAATCCGGTCCACCGAAATGACCGTCGATACGAGCGCGGAGAAAAATATCGCGCAAACATCGAGCACTATCACCGGGTGACAGATAGCTGCGGGAAACGGTCACCTGTTGACACAGTCTCCGGGGACCGAAAGGAACGCCGCGCGCCGCGGCGGCCATTTAAAGGCCCGCCGATCGGCGAAACCGCAACTTCCGCGCCGTCAGCCTTGAAAACCGCTCGATCCTCCGGAGCGTCGCGATAAAATCGAAGGAACCGTTGGATCCTCTCGAGGATCGATCCGGAGTGAAGCTCGCAGCGAGGGCTGATCGTCGATAGGTCGCTGCTCGTTTTTCCTTTGAGCTATCGGCGAACCTTCGCGACGGCCCGCTCTCCGTGATTCCACGATCGCGATCCACGGAGGCTCGTCTTTGATTCCTCCCGACGCCACTCCCGAGGAACGATAAGGCTGATGTCACAGCCGATGTCGCAGACATCATGGCGGTCGAGTCGAGGTAAGTGCGGATTTTTGAGGATTCTCCGTGAACGAGGGTTTTATTGGTTAGGGATTCTTTTGCTTGTTTGGGAGTTGATGCGAGGTATGGGAATTGAAGGTGAATGATTATTTAATGCCACGAAGCTTGAAAATTATTTGGTGATAATAGTTCCATAGCGTAAATTACTAGAACTGTAACGCAAGCATTAAGATATAAATAATAAATAATTATTCATATTTATCTTTGCTACAAAAGAATAAGCGATAGATAAAATCTGAAGGGTTTCGTGGCAGTCAACGTGTTAACCCTCTGCACTCGAAAGTTTTTCACTAGAAATATTTGAACGTTTTCTGATGAGATAAAATCGATATTCTGTGCAACTAAGTCGAGAAATCACGCGTACATTGAGGAACAAAGTTATTTTATTTGAATATTTCTCAAAATGATGCATTATAGGAAATATAATATTAAATATCAAATTTTATACTCTTACTGTATGAAATCAAGTGAGTCACCTCTCAAGCGCAAAGGGTTAAAGTTAAATAGTTGAGAGACACTAAGACACACAAATATGGACATTTTGAAGGGAAACATACAGGGTTGAGTAAATTCCCATGTGTAACCGTCGAATTAAATCGTTGCTGTTTCACGTCGGCCAGATTCAAGTGACTTTAACGGTCGATTTCCCGCGGAAACGAAATTCCACGGCGCAAGGAGATTTATTCTCCAATTTCGACTAATTCGCGTGAGGAATCACCGCTGCCTTGTTAACGGATGATAAATATCGCCGCGTCGCATAATGTATGTACTCTCGTCCAATTTTCCGAAATTGCACAGCTAGTTTCCGCCCTGTTACATCGACCTCTATACACCGAAAGTTTTCGTGTTCCCTTCCGTTATGGGGGATGTTTATGCAAATACGTATCAGTATAGAAACAAGTACGGGCCAAGTTTCTCAATTAACGATTTTATTCGCAAGTTCCCCCGATTATGGGTTCCATCGGATTAACAATTAAACCGAACTTTCGACAAGACTTCGTTCCACTTGCTACGGCAGTTCAAGGGAATTTCTATTTCGTTTATGCTTCATTTATCCCCGGAAACTTCTAATTAAATTGCACACCCTCGAAGATTCTATAAGCGCATCAAAATCTTTCGAACACTGCCGTAACAAAAATAATTAAATGTATCACACTTAAGCTTTACCACGTGAAATCCTGGAAGAGAAACAATCTCATTAGATTAATTATTTCTATTGTTAAATGAATTGTTACTTATCTATTCTATTTATACCAACCTCTCAAACACACAATAATTCAGAAGAAACAATACTTCATCATCGAAACAACTAAAAATATTTAATCAAACCTTCCAATACTATATAAAACTACATAAAACTATATAAAACCATATAAAATTATATAAAATTATATAAAACCATATAAAACTACATAAAACTATATAAAACCATATAAAACTTCATAAAACTATACAAAGCTACATAAAAAGGTGTAATAACACATAAAACTGTATAAAACTGTATAAAACTACATAAAACTATATGAAAAGGTGTAATCATCGTCATCTACTGATACAATCCCTTAACACTTTTAATTTCACACAAACCTCAATCGATTCCAACTTCTCCCAACAAGCACCAACAAAACACACCGAACTCAACGTTCATCGGCGGCAAAATTCGTCGTGCGAACACGCGATGCATAGAAAATTCATGGAGAAGTTACTTTAGTATCTTTTCTTTTAATTCCCCACCACGGTAACGCGTGGGATGTATAATAAATTAATCCTCCATAAATAAACATAAGTGTAATAACGAGTGCAGCCGAGCTCGAGGCGTATTTTAACGCGCCGACCCGCGGGTCCGATCCGGCCCGCGACACTTGCGCCCCGTAAAAAGACGCCGGCGCGCCCCTCGGGGTCGAAGGGCAGCTTCCGTGAATATCCGTGGGAAACTTTTCTTTCAGCGTCGCGGAGGACGCGTCTCGAATCCGGCCCGCGCGGGGATTCGTTCCGCGGGAAACGAAACGAACCGGGGGGATTCCCTTAAAAAGCCCGCGGAATTCCGAAGTAATTCGCGCGAAAACGAAATCTCGAATTTCGCCCCGCGGAAGTTTCCCGATGAATTCCTGCCCCGCCCCGTTCCACCCCTCGCGCGGCCGTGTTGTCTTCCGAGGAATGCCGAAGTTCCCGCGTCGAGACGCGACGCCGAGCACTCGAAACTTTCGGCCGACGTGACGCGCGCGACACGCTCGCGCGTATTATTGACGTAACTTCCCGTGTAGCGTTCGGGAAATTGATGTCTCTGCCGAGACGTCGGGCGAAATTATGAATTTGAACGGGATCCTCGGAATTTCGGCTTTCCGGGAATTCGATTAGTCGGAGAAATTGGGGCGGCGGCGACGGGAACGCCGCGGCGGCGGCTTTTTGGGGAGTTCCGGGAATCGGTTTGTTTCGCTTGGTCTTTAACCCTTTGCGGTCCGAAGTGTTCTTGGCTTCTCAGTGCGAGGTTCGCGTCGATGTTAGTTCATTCGATTAGAGCTTAACCATCTATGGACTAAATTATGTTTCGTGATAACAAAATATCTGGCATAGGAAATTAATGAATATGCACGTATGAAGACGAATTAACACTAGGTTTACGGAACGCGTCAAGTTGACGCATATTGGATTTTAGAAATATTATATTTATTTTTATACTAAATCTAGACAGAAAGTGCTTGGAATGTTTTCTTTTACTAGTATTAACGATGAATAGTAATAAATGCACCTACGAAATTCAGTAAGGCAAGGGGTCAATTGGAATAAGGGTGTCAATTTAGAGGAACATTATATAAATGTCTAATTAGTAAATTTGGAATTTTAAATGGACGTATTCTATTTTCCGAAGGAGCTCATTATGATAGATTTTGCCACTTTTCTATTAAATTTAAATTAGACACCTTGAAGTTCTCTAGAAAAAGAGTTCGAGTGTTTGCGTTGGAGTTAATTAAACGCAATTTAGAGTATAACACGGTGTACTTAATATTAGAAATCCAATTAGTTTCAGTATTCTTGATACTTTTAGATTTCAGTGATACAATTATCTCGACTCGCGCAGACGAGTCTTCCAAAAATTAATACAATTCCCTTAACTGGCTCGCCAAATGATCCAACCGCGATCTCCGAGTCAACGAACGAAATTCCCTTCCCTCGGGAGACCACGAAAAAATACGGTAAAGTGAAAGAGTTAATAGCGGAGCGAGGAAGGAAATGAAAAGTCAACGCGCGGAAGGAAGAACTTTCTTAGATAGCGAATCAACGCGGAAAGAAATGATGGTCGGTACCGCACAAAGGTGAAAGAGCCTCGTAACAGGAAGCGTATATCGCGGTAAATCTTTGCTCGATCCTTTCGAGCGATCGCTCACTTAGCGGCCGGGGCCACGGCCACTCAGGAAATACGTGGGATTTATGTTCCGCGGGATTCGCGTCGAATCGTCGGAAGTTCAGTCGAAAAGATATCGTTTGAACGTCGCGCGGTGACCGATTTCGACGTTGCGGCCGAACGAAAGTCAATTTCGAAAATGTCGCCTGAATTGTGCAACTTTTGCGGGTAGAGATAGCTGAATGTGCGAGTAATAAGGTGCCAATTGTTCCTTTCTCGTTCGTGCACTTGTTAACGCATTGCGCACCGGTTAATTAGGAAACTGGCCGATTTCTCGATGGGATTCACTTATAAGTTTGTGATATATCGTTGTATGAAAAATATTCAAATATCTTATTATTTAAGAAGTATTGAACAAGTAATCAGTTCTAATAAAATTTAATGTTTCTTTAAATGGTGTGGTAGTTCGTAGATTTGTAGATTTGTAGATTTGTAGATTTGTAGATTTGTAGATTTGTAGATTTGTAGATTTGTAGATTTGTAGACTTGTAGATTTGTAGATTTGTAGATTTGTAGATTTATAGATTTATAATACTTAATATTTATTCATTGACATCTTATTATATATATATACAATCATATTCTGTCGAAAAACATTCGATATACAGGTGTCTTTCATTTTGCCCGTCTAAAACGGCGAAATCGGCCACTGCGTCGACTTTCTTACCTAACTGCTCGAGTCGTTCGCTGTGTCAATGTCCCCGTAGCTGCTGGCTACGAGGTATTCTTACGACCACTCGATGGTGAATCGATACAGTCATCCCCAACCCCCGTCGCCGGTTTTCATCCCCCATTCGTAGCTGTTTATTGGACGATAACCGTCGAACGTTTTATCTGCTTTAACGAGTGCAGCTGTCGGCGCCGGGAATACATTACGTAAGAGATCAAAGACTGGAATATTTCGGGTCCATTCGGATCGCGATTCAGTGCTACGTAAGAGATTGAATTCGCGGCCGAACTTTACGCTGCTACAAATTAAATTCGCATCGTAAATCTGATCCCGGCGGGATTAAATCTTGATCCCCGGGTATTAAGAGCCGGGGATATTGAATGTCGAATTATAATCAGTGTTTGATTACTTTAATTAACTGGGGACAACGTTGTCTCACGTACGCGAACCTCGGATACGTTCTAATAGAATTATTATATCCTGTAGACTACATTGTCGCCGGAGTAGAAATTCACTGTGTTGGTTGTCTTTCGATTTCGGCTGGTTACGCGATAATGTTTGGAGAGTTGCAGCGAGTTATTGAAAACGTACAGAACTTGTATTGTGTTTTGTGGAATTTGGTCTTGGGAATCAAGGATTCATGGGAATCTCGGGAATATTCGAATTTTTACAATTAGCTTTCAAGTATTAAACAAATCTCTATAAATCTCTATAAATCTATAAATCCATAAATCCATAAATCTATAAATCTATAAATCCATAAATCCATAAATCCATAAATCCATAAATCTATAAATCTATAAAGCTACAAATCTACAAATCCGCAAATCTACAAATCTGCAAACCTACAAATCCACAAATCTACAAATCTACAAATCTACAAATCTACAAATCTACAAATCAACAAACCTACAAATCTACAAATCCATAAACCCATAAATCTATAAATCCATAAATCCACATCTCCCCAAAGTTCAACCACCCACTTAACACTCAGCGCCCGAAAACTCACAAAATTCCCAA